TATACAACTTTAAGCAAAATGCTTTTGAAAATAATACAGGACAGGGCTGTCCATATTCGATGGACCCATCTGGCAATCCTCTATCTTTTGACAGAGGCAGGCACAAGACGCCAGACAATCTCAAGGTGGTCATTTATCATATTCAAAAAATGATGTCAACAAATCTACTTGAACCTAAGAAAATTATTATTATCGTCAACATACACAAATTGTGTTTTTTCTTGATTCAAATAAAAAAACCAAGCCTGTCATTTTTTCCATTAATTTTACATGTTTCGAAACGCTCTACTTTATAAATTACTTAAATCAATTATTTATTATTATTATTATATTAATAAATTAAATAATTAAATAAACATTATAAATATTGTTTCACAATCAGGATGTATTATTATTATTATTTTTTTTATGATTTATTGTTATCATTATATTTTAAATGAATAAGTAAAATAATTGTCAATCAGGATGTATATTTATTGTTATTTTTTTTTTTTTTTTTTTTTTTTGGTTTTTAATTTTTAATTATTATTATTATTATATCAAATAAATAAATAAAATAATTAAGTAAACATTATTAATAATGTTTCTCAATCAGGATGTATTATTATATTTTTTTTTAAGGATTTATTATTATTATATTTTAAATGAATAAGTAAAATAATTAAATAAACATTATAAATATTGTTTGTAAATCAGGATGTATATATATTTTTTTTTTTTTTTTTATTTATTATTATTATTATATCAAATAAATAAATAAAATAATTAAGTAAACATTATTAATATTTTTTTCTCAATCAGGATGTATTATTATTATATTTTATTAACAAATAAAATAAAAATATAAACATTATTTAAGCATAGTGTTAAGACTTAAATTATGTAATAACTAATTTAATATTAATTGCCCAAGTACGCCTAGACATTATTTAATTTCTTAGTTCTTCGTAGATATTCTCTATATGCTGGTCCGACAGCTCCCGACTAGAGATATTACGAATATTAAAAATTTAATTTGATATAATCCGATTAATTGTAATATAAATATTTCATGGCTGTGCACAACAAATTGCTCGAATGCAGCCTCGACCACATTGGATCATTTTATATTTAAGCACATGCGAGAGTTTCTTTCCGCTTATTGTGTCTCTGGTTAATGGGCCGCAAATTTGGCAGCCTCGGCACTTAACGCCTCCAGAAATACATCGTCAAGTGGCAGTTTAGAGGTAATTATAGCACTCATTTGTCTAAATCAAAATGTAGCATATTGGAGCCAATTAAATAAATGCGCCGCGCCAAGTGTGGATAAATTGTTGGAGTGAGATATGAAGAGCGAAATGCAGTTTTATTGATTCATTAAATGTGCACAAAGGATGCAGCTAAGAGCAAATACTTTTTTGGCAATTATCTTGACACAAATAGAGTAAGCTGATCAAGCTTCAGTTTCCATAAATAAGTCACAATGCACGAAACACGAGGCGTGCACCATTCAGCACAGCTCAGCTGAGTATTTGGTGTGTTGAAATACAAAGGCAGAGGCAATGGGAAAAGCAGCAGCAGAGGCGGAGGCAGACACGAATGCAGCCAGTTGCAAAGCAAATATTGTGAACAAAATTTAATTTATTTACACCCAGTAGCTGATGAGCTGGATAACGGGTATATTAAATGGATTGAATGATAATGGAGATGAAGATAAGAAAAGAAAAACATGGAAAGAGTCAAAGGCGAAGGCGAAGGTGAAAGAATCGGTATAAATAATAGAAATGAAATAATAGAGGAAGAGAAAAGAGAAGATCGAAAGGCAGAAGAAATCGAAAGAACAAGAAAGAAAGGAGAAGGAACAAAAAAGCGGAAGAAAACAGGACAGCCGAAAAAATAATAAGAGAGGAGCAGAAAAGAACAGCAGGAAATAAGGGATCAAATAGAAAAAGAACCGAGGAGAAAGCAGGATAGGAAAGGGAAAATGAAGAGGACTGAATATTATAATGGAAGAAGGATAATTAGAAAGGGAAAAAGGACAAGATAAAATTAATCTAGAAATGAGGAAGAAAAAATAACACAGAAAAATCGATTAGGGAATATAGATATTAAATAGAACAAAAGGAAAGAAGGAAGGGAAGAATTGAAAACAAAAAAAAATCAGAAGAAAATAAAAACAGGAAACAGAATAAGAGGAGAAGGAGAGAAATAGATTATTAAGACAGGAAAAAAGGGAAAACAAAACATAAAATAACAATAAATGAGGAGTAAAAGAAAAAAGGAAAAAGTTTGCGAAAAAATTGAAGATTGGAGGAAATTAGAGAAGTAAAGAAGAAAAATTATTAATCAGAAGCAAAAGTGAGCCGTAAATGAAAAGAGAACTAAAAATATTGATGATAATACTAATAAGAATAATAATCACTATTTTAAAAATAATCATGTTATTTAAAATTTGTATGAATTAATTACGCAAGCCTTCAGCATATCCAGGATAATTTAAGGTCATGAAGTAGTACAATGCGTTGTGTTTGAGTGTGTTTAAAAATGCATATGTATGTATGTGTTTGTGTGTGTGGGTATTTGAGTGTGTATGCTCGTGTGTGTGTATTTGGTTGCAAGGACATAGCACGCCAGCAAATATTGCGTATACGCAGACAAGATTGTTGTGCGATTTATATTTCAGCAGTTGGCAGTTTGTTTGGCACTTTGACGCCGACATTGACACACCAACGCGCCAGCAAACATATGCGCATGCACACCCACACACAGATGAGTCCCTCTGTATGTGCGTGCAGCTGTTGTTGCGCTAATACATCAAGTGATGGATGGGCGCACAATTGGTTTTACTGTGAGGCTGTGTGGCAGTCCGGAAACTGTGCGTAAAATTTAGCAATGCGGCTTGTTTTACTTTATAATCAATTGTTTTGCTCTTTTCGCTTCACGATTTGCCTCTTCTTTTTGTGAGGGTCTGCCAGGCAAACAGAGAAAACTAAATAAATAAAAGAGAAATAAAATCGTTTGTCGCTGCAATAGCCATAAAATAAGTGATGAATCAACTGGCAGAGCCGCTGACCCATTGATGATGTCAGCTGTATAAACGAGAAAGAGGGAGAGGGAGGTAAGCGTTAAGTAATATATAAACATGCAATAACAATAAGATATGTCAAAAGTAAAAAATCTATTCAATTGCAATTGCCGGCCATGCGATGAAATATGCGAGATGCAACAAATATAAACATGGCCAAAAGCAGCACCGCAACAGCCAACACCATGTTGCAGTTGGCAGCTAGCCAGAAATTAGCCAGCTGCGGTTAGAATAAGAGTTTGTCAAGCAAATACTCAGCTGCAGTCATGCCTCGGCCAACCCAGCACTAAAGTGAGCGAGAGAGAGAGAGAGAGAGTGAGAGTGAGTGAGAGGGGGACAGGAAAAGGGTCGGCATATTTTTAAAGTCTACAAGCAAATGTGGCGACAGCTGTTGGCAAATAAATCAAATCTGCTGCAGCTAGGTAGGCAGCCAGCCAGCTAAGTAGGTGCAAATAAGTCGGCTCACAGTGTTTACCACCTGTTCAGCAAGCGCTTCAGGTGGTCACATTATTGAGATACTCACACAAACTCTCCAAATATCTCACAGCAAGCAGATGAGAGCTGAAGAAAAAGTGAAAGGGTATTTGGCTAGAGGGAGATTGAAAGCGGCATTAAACTTGGAAATATATATAGAATATATATATAATATATTTATATATTATTTATTATATTACAAAAACTATAAATATTTATAAATATTCATTTAAAATTTGTCTTTTCAAATTATTTATTACATTACAAAAAAATATATTTAATCTTGGAAATATATATAAGGTACACATATTATATATTTTTATATTATTTATTATATTATAGAAAAAATATATATTTATAAATATCAGCTTAAAATTTTTCTAATAAAATTATTTATTATATTATAAAAAATATATTTAAGCTTGGAAATATAAATAGAGTACATATGTATATTATATACTTATATCTCATTTATTATATTATACAAAAAAATATATATTCATAAATATTTACTTAAAATTTTTCTATTCAACTTATTTATTAAATTATTAAACAAAATATATTTACACTTGGAAATATATATAGAATATACATATTATATATTTTTATATTATATATTATATTATACAAAATTTATATATTTATAAATATCTACTTAAAAATTTTCTATTCGAATTATTTATAATATATATTTACACTTGGAAATATATATAGAAAACACATATTATATATTTTTATATTACTTATTATATTATACAAAAATATATATATTTATAAACATTTATTTAAAATTTTTCTACTCAAATTATTTATTATATTATAAAAAAATATACATATTGATAAACATTTATTCATTCAACAATTTTCTATTAATATCATAAAACATCTTCTAATAAAACATTAGCTTTATCTCTCATATATAGGGCTGGCGTAGGGCATTTGCCAGCCATGCATATCCTTCACTTTCACCTTTTTTTCTCTCCGTTTGGCGCTTGAGCTGTTGAGTTCCCGCATAGAGTTTCAGCTATGCTTGTTATGTTTTGTGCGCATTCTGCGCCATTTGGCAGATTGCCTTGCATATGCATATATATACATACATATCTACATTAAAAAAAAAAAAAAAAAACATTTACCCGCAACCCAAACACAAAAAAAAAAAAAAAAAAGAAAAGGAAAAGGAAGCATAGAAATACATTGAATGCAGATTTGAATGATTTACGATACTCGTAGAGGAAGACAAAGAAAAACAGAGCATAGAATTGCACGGGACAGCGAAAAATTTGTCACAGATGCGTCGCGTGCGAAATGGGATTTTCCCTTTCACGATTTCACATTTTTTATTTTTACCCATATATATGTATACATATATACAATTTTTTGTTGCTAAAATCATAAATCAGCGAGCAATTGATGAGAGTATTTTACATAATTTTTTCGTCTTTTTTTGTTCTTCCCATTTCAGCATCGAGCAACGCTGGCCCATTGCAGGGCACCGTCAATGTCATTACCATCATCAGCAATAACAATAACAATCACAGCAGCAACAACAACAATAACAACAATAACAACAACAACAACAACAGCGATAACAGCAACAGCAACAACAACAACAACAACGGCAACATCATACCTGTCGAGTCGAGCGTGGGCGTGGCAGGTGCTAGCAGCGGCAGCGGCACAGTGGAGCACAGCTTTGTGGCCATACCATTGCTGGAGCGTCGACGTCGCAGTCGCAGTCAGAGCCACTGTCGCATCACGCCATTGGCGCCCATTCTGTGCCTGAGCAGCCAGAGCGGCACCCATCCCGAGGACCTAACCCAGCTGTCCCGTTCCGTCTCGTGTTTCGTTCGCATTCGCCGCAGCTTCGCCAAGTGTGAGTGTCCAATGCAAAGTCGCTGCCGCCAATCCGCAATGCACAATCTGCAGCACACGATCCAGATTTGGAGAGACCCAATTGCATTTCGATTGCAAGCCTTTCAGCGTCGATTTTGCTTTGCTTTGCTTTCGCTTAATTGAATTTCTCAACTCTCAATTCTCACTCTCTACTGTCTATTCTCTACTCTCTCTTATTCTCTTTCCCTCCCAGTTCTGGGCAAAATCATGGGCAGCAATAATCCCAGCGAGGCCGATCGATATGATTATTACGATTGTGAGTACAATAATATTTCATTTTATATAATTTCATATCTCATATTAAGCATACGCCACGTGTGCCCCACGAACATATCAAAGGCTGTGAGAATTCGTCCAGCTTGAATATCTATTACTGTCCATGCAAAAGTTTCGCAATTAATTAATAAACAACGATTTCAACTGCAAATAAATTATAAATCATATGTTGACAAATTGAGCCCGACTTGTTGACGTTTTGTATTTGTTTTGCCAGAAAATTGTTTGTCTAGCTCAAAGGTTCTTCGAAAGTGACTGAAACTCATTATTGTTGAAAAATTACTTTTTTAAAAGTCTCTTTCGATGACAATTGCTTTGCGATGATGTGAGCACAGCTCCACGCCCGACATGCCTTAAATGACGAAGTAGCTTCGTAGGCAAATGACTTTGACAGAATTTTATGTGAATTTAGGGGACTTTATATTAATTTTCGTATGTGGATGAGCTTATCTGCTTGTGCCTTTATGAGACTGCGAAAGCAAAATGAAAAACTTTTGTATATATGTAGGATATATGGTATTAGAATTTAATATACCATTCCCCTTGGTAAAAATTGTAATATTTTTAAATTTCATCCAGTGAAATTATCGGCCAGTCAGCTTTAATTGCTTAATGATTAAATAAATCTTTATTTAAATAGATGTTTATCAGAAATAAGATAACACACAATAAAAGGTGTCTTTTGATTGATTATTTATTAATTATTTATAAGACACTGGAGCTAATGTAATATGAAAATTAACCTAAAAATAAAAATTAAGAATATATATAAATTTTGAATATGTATTCAGCATGCAAATAGTGCATGATCTTCTTCAATTTGAATTTTATCTCCGTTTCATCTTCATCAAAATACCCGATTACACAATTTAGAGGGTATTACAGCAGTTAAGACAAACAGTTGAAGCACAACAATAAATAATAAGAGCCGCGTGTTCGTTGTCAATGAAAACTTCATGAAATTTAATTACTATTAGTGAGCAATAAATTGTGTGTTGAGTGGCTGTTTGCCAATGTTAAGTATACGCCGTGTAGCTGATGGTTAAATTAAAGAAGACGAAGAGGATGGATGGCGACTCGAGTGGGTGGTAGACAGACACACACACACACACACACACACACACACGAGCACAAAGAGAACGTACAACATGAATCCATTACAATATTTGCATCTTTCGATTCTTTTGTGCTCCATTCGTTGATTGTGCGTGTGTTGTTTTTGTCTTGTTTGTCTCTTTTTAGCCTGTCATTATTTCTTGTGTTTTTTTTTTGCTGTCTCTCTTTTTCTGACTCTGACTCGCTCTCTTTCTCTCTGTCTCTGTCTCTTTTCGGCTGCGTCCTTTATGCGTGGCTGGAACTTCAAACCAAGCGGCAAGTGGCTGTGAATGCCAGCAAAAAATCAATAAGACCCCAGAGACAGTGGCAGCTGTGGCAGAGGGGCGAGGCCCGGGACAGTAGGCAGAGCGAGCGAGCGAGCAGGAGCAGGAGGAGGATGGGAAGAGACATTGGGCATAAGTAGTATTTATGTTGGTATCTAAATATCTACAGTCATCTGTCAAATATCACGTTTCTTGTTTACACTTTTCTGCTTCGACTTCGACTTCGACTTCCACTTCGACTGTGGTAGCTTCGACTGTTTCAGCCTCGCGCCTGTGTCTCTGAGGCGCCTGGCGCCGCTTCTAACTGTTGTTCATCTACCACGCCCACCGCCCCCTGCGCTACACATTTGTGTTGCTTCTTCTTTTGGTCTTCTGTTTGTATTTGGCATGTGGAGTGCTGAGTGTTGAGTGGTACAGTGGCATTTGCCGTTACGTGCGCTGCTGCCAAATGCAAACAAGAGCAGCCGCAAACAACAACAAGCCAAAGCCAAAGCAGCCGGTCAGTTGAGGCCGTCGGGGCAGTCGAGGCCAGGGCAGCCGCAATGAGTATTACAAACAAAATATACGTTAAAAGTTAATATACCCCATAATCGGTGCACAGGAAGTTGGGTGTTGTCATTGTCGTTGTCATTGTCATTGTCATTGTCATTGTCATTGTCATTGTCATTGTCATTGTCATTGTCATTGTCATTTTCATTGTCATTGTCATTGCCATTACCATCATATCAAAATCTATACATCAAATATTACTTTAGGCGTCTCTCAGCGCAGCGTCTAGTTAAACTTTGGCTTATTACGAACTTTTTAATGTCTTTAGCTAATCATTCTTGATTTTTTTTCCGTGTTATTCTTTAGTATTGACATGACCTGTCCTCACATACATTTTATTTGTATGTTTGTAGGTGTGTACATACATACACATATACACATGTACCTATTCGATTTGCTGTTCGTTTAGTCTAATGAGAATGTTGCATACTTTTCGGTTTGTGTGGCCTAATGAGTCTCTGGGTATTACATTTCATTTCTTATGCTTTTCTGAAACATAGCTCTGTGTGGATCTTGATTACATAATGTAAAGATGTATGTATAGGTATGTCTTATATATAAGATAGATGTGGTTACAGTTCAATTTGTAATTGGAATTTTGCAGCTTGTTAAATTTCCACTTCGATTTTGGTGTTAGCTGATCAAATGATTAAAACTCGCATTACTGTCGCGTTCAGAGCCTGCGGCACGCTCGTTGGCCCCATGTGGCAGCCATGTTAACCGCCAACCAATCTGCCACGCCTCAAGATGCTGACATAGTCGAAATGTCGAATTGCCTTTAAACGCCTTTGTGCGCGTCTCTTGGCGTTTAACGTGTGTCAAGTGCTCAAGTTCTCAAGTCCTATACAATCGATTGATAATCCCAGCCCAATATGTTCAATTTTCAAATACATACGACAAACACACACACACACACAGACACACACACACACACACACAGGCACAGCGTTTGTTGTGCTTTTTATCAGCAACGCCAGCGACTTTCTTTTGGCTCTGGCCATGTGTGTGTGTGTGTGTGTGCATGTATTTCGCTTCTGTGTATTTCGTGTCTATTCGTTTTTAACACGTACTCTACGCATTTGATATACCCTCTTCAACGGACAGCAATCCGCCTGTTCTGGCCATGTTAATAGTGCTTCGACCAAAGGCTGCTTTCGCATCGAACAGCTGTTGCAGGCACAAACGTGCAACATCTGTCACAGCAGCGACTTCTTAGGGCTGCGCCACCATCATTTGGCATGCTGACAATGATAATGAAGCGCGCGTCTGGGCGCGTTGCCGAGTTGCTAAGCAACAGGTAGGCCAACATTTTGGCCTGGCCTGCGAGGCTGGCTGCCCCCCACTCCACCGCCCCATCATACATACACCAAAAGCACCCTCACACACGCACACATGGCCAACATTTCTTGCCATGTATGTGAGAGAGCCACAGCATGCAGCTGTTTTTGGGCCTTCGTCGCTGTCGCCTGGCTCATTCGTTGGCGCTCGGGTTTGGCATTCGTATTCGCCGCTGCGACAAGAACTGGGAAATTTCTACATATTATCTGCGCACTCGCTCTCTCTCTCTCTTACTCTCTCTCTCCCTGATTATAGCTCGCTCGCCTTTAAGTTATGCTTGAAAAATTTCCCTGCTACAATCGGATTTGCAGACTTCTCGCATGCGATTTGTCAGCGTCGTGCGAGTTTATCGCTCGGCAAATTCGCAAGCGCGTTCGCTGCTGCCGTTGACGTCGGCTTCGCTGTTGCTGTCGCTGTCGCTGCTGCCGCAAACGTCTCGGCACGCACGCTGGCAAAAATTGTGGCAAGTCCCAAACGCTCTGCAGTCGTCGACAGAGTCGCCTGGCGCCCCGCGTGTTGCCAGTGTGTGTGCCGTGGCCGTGTGTGAAAGTGATTTCAGTTTCTAGTTCTCGTTCAGCATTGCCGACGGCACGACGTGTTTGCTCTACTCACTGTGTGTGTGTGTACGTGTGCGTGTGCGTGTGCCTGTGTGTGTGGCGCGGGCGCCGAAGCAGCAGCAGCAGCAGCAGCTGAAGCGCAATTTCCATTGCCTTCGCCATTGCTTTGCGACCAACGGCGACAAAACCAAACAAAACAAATCCAAATAACTGTTTCATCAATTGGTCAGTGTTCGAAAATTACAAAAATATTTTTTTTTTTTGTATTTTTGGTGTTGGACTTTCATACAAAAATTTCTGTATATTGAAGTGTGCAAATTAATTAATTAATTGAAAACAAATTTATGCAAAAAATTTGGCAAGTTACAAAAATAAAATATTTTACAAACAACAAGTTTTAAATGTATACTAAATTTATACAAATATCGAAGAATTTCAGTTAATATTTGAGCAAGTGCAAGATTTTAATTTAAAGCGACTTTAGGCTAAGTATTTAAAAAAAAAAATATACTTAAAAATAATTTGTTTGCTTTCTGATAGCCATATTTCAGAGCTTAAACAAATTGTAACAGTGAGTTTTTTTTATAATACCTTAAGTTAAGAGCTAAAAAAAATGCAAATTGACAAGAACAAATTGTATAAATATATTTTATATATGTACGAATGTAAAGAATATAAAGAATTATATTAAGCTCTTGATGAATATTTAATTAAGGTATAAATTGTTATTTTATTTTTGTCGTACATATTTTTGTTGAGCTCGGCTTAAGCGGATTATGCAGTAAAAAATTGCATTCAATATAAATTACATACATATTTTTTATATATTTTATTTACAATATTAAATTAAATCGTTGTCAGCTCGCGCTCATTATATATTTTATTTTACGATCTCTGTTCAACCTTGTGAAAAATCATTTTTGATAAGAACCCAATTTGTTTGCTTAGATTTATTCTCGAAAATCTCATGTTGGGATATATCAAAGGAATTGATGGTTGAATACTCCTCCCTTAAAAATAGCTTCAATCTTTGTCAAAAGAATTTCCTAATAAGTTTCGCTTCATATCACTAATACTACAATAGTAAACTATTTGCAGTGCTTCGTAATACTCGCTTCAAAAATGCTTAAGACATAGTTTTTACTGATTTGTCACGC